TTTATGTTTTAAATGACTAGGTTAGAGTAACTTAAACTTCTTTAAGGGGTTAGGGGTAGTCAGAATTTTCAAAAAATCGATATTTTTTTTTTGCATTTTCTTAAAGTATAATATTTTAAAAATATTGTGTGAAAATTTGAAGTGAATCCGACAAATTCTTTTCGAGTTATTTAACAATGACCAAAGGACGCTCGGGTGCTACGTGGCATTCGAGAGCAGGTAGCTAGAAACAGCTGCAAGCAACCGACGATAACACCCGAGAAGGTCGATTGCAACGTAGGCACCAGCAAATCGATATTTTGGAAGCTGCTATGACGGCTGAAGAGCTATTATATGGTCCAGGAATAGATGACTCAGTGTAAGTTATTAAATAATTCTTATAATTCGACATAAATCCATAGCAAAACTTTAAATGCGTTTTTCTCAAAACTATGTTTTCTGAACTGGTGATCACTGTAACTTAAAAACTGCTCGGTAGATTTCAATAAAATTTCTTGTACTTTTGAAATACATTAAAAACTCGTGCCTGATCGAAGGATTTCTTTTTTTTTCAAAAATTTCGATTTTTTTTTAACAATAAACTGTCGGTTTTTTTCTCGAAAATTTGAAAAAAAAATCCTGAGGCCGCCATTTTGTTAATTTCGAAAAAAAAATAAGCTTCGATCAGGCACAAGATTATCTATTAATAAAACTAATTTTTCTTGTCCGATTTATTTTAGATGAATCTCCAAGGACTTATGATGATCACCGCAAAGGACTTCGGGAGGAACGGGCTCTACAAAAACAGCGATAACTTTTTGAATTATAAATTATTTTTTTTGAAATTTTCGTGAAGTCAAATCGAAACGTGTTCTAATAAAGATATGTTTTTATTTTTGTCAAATAAAGTAATTAACTACAAAAAAAAATTTATTGAAAATCATCATTTTTTCAGGCCTCTGAGTACCCCTAACCCCTTAAAAACATTCAACGTTGCTCTTGCTATCAATATACACAGTTGCATATGTGTGCGTTACCCCAGCAAAATAATGTCGAAAATGGTCATTTAAACGTTATACATAATTAGTTGCCCCCCTTCTGTAATTGTTAGGCACATTTTTAAATTTGTTTCACTTTTTTTTTTTAGTTACTTCAAAAAAACATTTCCTGCTGGGGTAACGTTACCGCAGCCATTTTCTTTTTTAATTGTAATATTGAAATAAATATTACCTAAATAATTAGTTATCTGGACGAGGTAAATGTTACAACTTATTTGGTATTTGTATTTTCTTCGGCTGCGAAGTTATTCGAGATCCTGCTGGAGTAACGTTTGTGGGTTTGCTGGATCTCTAAAATGGGTAAGCGGATTGTAACCATCTTTTGTACATAACTTCTTAAGGATTATTAAAAACTTCTGTTACTGAATTAAGAATATATCATTTGCCTAATCGTTTACTTATCGGCATCGATCTTGATCGCTTGGTGGCCGAATCGGCGATCGCTTTATGCACTTGTGGCAAAATAAAAAGCACACCAGTTTATTATTATTTATTTTAGCTAGAAATAAAATTTTAAAAAAAGAATGACATGGCGAGATCCAAATAAGTTTTCCCACATATCATTATTTTTTCCTAATTAGAATAGAAATATATCAAATTATCTATATATATATATAATTCTGTGCGTTTCCAATTCCTAAACGGCTGGACCGATTATGATGTTTTTTTGTGTGATCAAGTGGATTCAAGTATGGTTTCAATTTACAATTCGGTCCACTAAAAAATGTTTTTTTAGTCTACGACATAGAGGAGCAGAGATCCAATGAAAAATTTTGCAGAACCGGGGAATGACTGCTTTTTAACCGACTTCAAAAACACAAAATAGTAGGTTATCAATTCGTCTGTATTTTTTTCGTTTTTTTGTTTTTGAGGCGCTGACGAAGTAGCGTTGGTCAGGGTCAGCTAGTCTTTATTTATTCTTTGCAACCACACGATGTTACGTAGTAAAGTTACTACGTAACTTCTTATAGATTCTATGATAAGACAATCCGGTTTTAATTAGTTTTAATAAAAAAATCATTTAGGTATATTCTATTTGACGACCGGATATCGTAGTAGTTTGTATAACGGACTGCTATTAAAAAAATCGCGGGTTCGATGCCCGCTCAAGTCCAAACATTTGTGTGCATAAACATTTAATGTTTATTTTGGTCTGGATGTTTCTATTTTCAAAAAAAGTATATATGTATTCATATAATATATGGAAGTTGTCTAGTACCCATGGTACAAGCTCTGTTTATATAGTTACGGACTAGATGGCGGTGTAAATGTGGTAGAAAATTATTGAATGTGAAATAGAAATGACTTTGAATCAAATAACTTTCTTAAATATAGCTAGGACTAGTACTTACGATGGCCATTTCGTCTTCATTGTCATCTCATTTACTGTGTTATAAATACATATTAGAGAATACATTACACTCACATAAAAATCTCAAGTTTTAACTACCACAAAATTAAATTGATGAAGAGCGAAAGTAGAAATGATTATATTATTAATAAAAAAGGGTCACGTGCAATTCTCTTTTTTTTAAATAATAGGTACATAAAATCTTTTTTTTACTTACCTTAAATCGCATCGCGCAGCCTATCTGCCAGCGGCTTTATATGATTTTACTTATTGTAGATCTGTTTATAGGTAGTGAATACAGCTTCTTAGTTTTGCCGACATATTAGCGACTAAATTTTCGAGTTATCAAGATTGAAATCCATGATGGTGGCCAAGCCAGCGTCAGTGACACGAATCTCTCTTTTTTACTTGCATTAAATGAACAGGAGCGCAGCAGACTATCTGCCAGCGGCTAAGTGCACATTTTACTCTTTACATTTTTTTCCCGTTGTAGATCTGTTTATCCGTAATGAATACAGCTTCCTTTTGGTGGGTTCAAATTATAGAATAACTTTATATTTATCGGGTCGCAGTCGTGTCGCTGGCGAAATCAAGTATTTAGCTCTTGGTGACGCGAACTATTAAAATCTATGATGGTAGCCAAGCCAGTGTCAGTGATACCAAATCCACTGTAAAGATCCATTAATGGGTCTTTTTTTACTCTTAAATCCCGACCACTTCAATTCCTAATCCTGGACTTCGCAATTTTGATGTTATGAACTTGTATATATCCCATAATTAGCAGTAACTCCATAATTCGGTAAATGGCACTAAGGTTTTTTTTCTATTACGTAAGTCACCAGTTACCACATACCTATACAATACAAAAACACGAGACAAAATATACGAGATGAATCGAATATATATAAGCATCAATAGTAGGATACTATCAAATTGGGATCCTGTAGAAACTATCAATAAAACAAATACTACTCTTTAAATCTATATTTCTCAATTCATTTTCTGGAATCGAGTCACCTTAGAAAACCTTATACTATGTTTATTAATTACATTTAACAAGAAGACTTTGGCTTCTCCAGAACTTTTAACAAACTTCATTTAAATTCAATTTTTTCATTCCTATGTATGAATTAGCAAGCAGTCTTTATGCATCAACACCCACTCTAAAAATGTTTTATTCCAAATAAACATAAACCATGTGCTTCTATTTATGATACATCATTGATTTGTAAGAAAAAAAATGCAAATATTTCTTAATAAATCAATTTTGCTTAATATTAACAATGAACTAATACAAAAAAATTGTTCACAGACTCCACGTTTCAACAATAAAGCATCAAATTAAATTGGCGACATCTCTTATTTAGATTTGGTATATTCAAATGCTAAATCCGCATGCATTCACTCATCATGACCAATCCCAGATCAATGGTGTTCAATTATTATGTAGTTCTAATAAACATCAATTACGTGTACAAACAAGAATCTCTTTACATATCTATACAAATTGTAAACACTGTATTAGTGCAGTCATGTTTTCCCAAATTACCAGATATCAATCTGAAAATTAATATTTAATTTCTATTGCAACATCTAAAAAGCAAATCAAATTTCAAGAATATTTTTCAAATGTAAACAACTAAAACTGCGGCAAGGACTACCAATGGTAAAATAACCTAAACTATACATTATAAAAAGCAAAAATGAATTGTAATAGGGTTAACTTTTTTTCCAAAAAATTCAATTTCCACTCTTAAAGAGATTCAAATAATTATTTATAAACCAGTCTATTAGTTTCTATCAGTGCCCCAATATTAATGTAATATGTACACAAGCGCTTTGCGGCAAAATGGGCATTTATAATAACTAGAAGACTTTATAAATTCAATACAGACATTGCTTTAATTTTTGTCCGACATTAATTTTTATAACATCTCACATATACAGCATCAAACTGTGTGCAAAACTTAATGTAAAATTAATTTCAATCTTTACATACAACAAAATCATTTGCACTATAGGGAATGTTAAGACGTGCTAAAAGAAGTATTATATTACTGTCTATTTATACAGTAAATAATCTAGACCAATTCATTTTTTCTCATGGATCCAGTATGTTTTATTAACCAATGTGTTATATTTATTAAACAAAGCGTTTTGTACGACTGGTGCTCCTGCACATTTATTTCGAAACGAAAAGTATTATTTTACAAAACTACACAGTGTATGTGTAAGGTGGCCATATTTTTCATTAGTGATCAAGAATACGTGTCTCAAAAGATTAGACAAATGAATAATCTTCAACTTTTATACTAATCAAAGGCGATCACGTTAAATTTATGCATTACTTTAAAGTTTAAACGAATACACTCATACTTTACAGTAGGTATATTTTAAACGAACAGTTATTTTGTGGATAAATTTAGACAATTAATAACTTTTTTAAGACCGGACCTCGTCTATCGTATGACGGTAAACGGTACTGCGAAAACTGTCTTAGTATTTCGACTGCGTTATACAAGAACGTCACCGAGTTAGTTTCACAGTAGTGGAGTCCAGTGTCGGCTCGGGGGAGCGAAGGAAGTGTGACACGGTGATCGGCCCGCCGTGGTTCACCTGAAGGCGCTCCTCCTGCGCTCGTGGCTGGGCGCGGCGGGCTCCCACTCGGCGTCGTCGGGGTCGTCGCCGGCGTACAGCGCGGGCGACAGCGGGGACAGCGAGCTGCTCGCCTCCGCGTCCTCGTCCAGCGCCGCGTCCGGCTCGGCGCCGGGGCTGGCGGGCCGGTAGCCGTCGGGCATGGCCGCCAGCATGCCCTGGTACAGCTCCTCGGGCAGCGGGAACTGTCGAGGCGTGTACGGTCTCACTGTCTGGAGTCACATGCACGGTTAACGGTTAGACGGCTGTGTTAGTAGTGCACGAACGGGTGGTTAGCTCGTATAAACTTTTATATTAATAGAAGGAAATTGGTTAGTGACCGGCCCCACTCAATGTATTCACTAGTGATGTAACGAATGTAAAATTTCTCACATTCGCGAATGCGGATGCAAATATTCTTATCAAATATTCGCGAAAACTTTGATTTACAAATAAAAATGTCATCGAGTTGCCATAATAATCTCGTGGCAGCCATGTTGAAACAAAACGTAATCGAACGTTATAAATAAATAATATAAATCATAAAAGTTTTATTATCTTTCCAGATCCATTCAGTCCATATACTTGTAATTTCCTTTTTGTTAGTAAAAACGTTCGCTTCGATTCTTGCGAATACGAATACGGATGGCAAAAATTTGCGAATATTCGCGAATGCGAGTGAAAACATTCGTTACATCATAAGTATTCACTATTATCTATACTAATATTATAAAGCTGAAGAGTTTGTTTGTTTGTTTGTTTGAACGCGCTAATCTCAGGAACTACTGCTCCGATTTGAAAAATTCTTTCAGTGTTAGATAGCCCATTTATCGAGGAAGGCTATAGGCTATATATCATCACGCTAAGACCAATAGGAGCGGAGCACCAATTAAGAATGTTTCAAAAACGGAGAAAATTTATTACTATTGAGAGACGCAGACGAAGTTGCGCGGGTCAGCTAGTTTAATATATAAATATCTCCTGACAGCACTCCTCTAAAACGGGCGACTTTTCTTTATTTAAAATTATTGTACTACATCACGCTGGCCAGACGGGTTGGTATAAGGTATGTTTCAAGTTTTCCTTCTCTTTGCAGTCAATTGGGGTTTTGAATGTCAGTGCTGTTGTCCTGCAGAGTTTACTACCTTAGTTGACTTTTACGAAACTCACGGAATGAATAGGGGTGATATGACATTATTCTTAATCCTTCACCACACGATATTTTACTTCATTTAGCTTGCCCATATTAGTTTGTTATTTTTATATTATTTACTTATAAGATTATTTTTTTATGATCCAGTGTTTCTCTTTTTGTATGTACTTGATTTTTTAAATGATGTCATTTGTTAGTTAAATGATAATGAAGTAGTGATCTGTGGAGTGTTGCTAGTTATTAGATTCTTATTTTTCAATCAATTAGATGTAAGAAGATTTAACGTATATTAGACCAACAGAAGTCAACGGAAAATAAGTCGAGTGAGCCGGTATTGAGGCAACGGGAAAAACTATCAGTACTCGCCTCATGGAGCGCGGGGGTGGAGGGGCGGCGCTGCACGGCAGGCGCGGGCGGGGGCGGGGGCTGCGGAGGGAGCGGCGGGGGCGGGGGCGGCGGCGACAGGTCGGGCGCGGCGTTCCTGCGGCGCTTGCGCATGTAGCGCTCGCGCTCGCGGCCCTCGGCGCGCGTGTGGCGCAGCTGCACCGCGGCGTCCGACACGTCCTCCTCCTGCGACGGGTCATCCACCGTTAATACTACATCCTTGTGAAACTCACACGAATCGATATCGGTTAGTCAGAGGGCCTAGTGTAACTTTATTTTACTTCACTCTCGGGAGCGAGCGCGTTCGGTGTTGCGATCTGTGCAGATTTCAGTGCGGGCCGATCACAACGGGAAACACGGTCACCGTTACGATCGAGTGGATGTGAAATAAACTCGCACTTGGGCCTCTGAATGTCAGTACGAACACCCACCTCACTCTCGATGGACATTCGTGTTGACTTCGCCACACCGTTGTTCATCGATGTCTCTGGCATTTCCATCACCCGCCACCTGAAATAAACATGTGACAATTGAGACTCGCGTAATATATATTAACAAATGTGGGTAAGAGTTGTAATTAGCATGTTTGTCACGATTAAAGAACGCCTAGCTATATACACGGTGTAAGGGACGTCGTAACGAATACTGAAATAGTGTATTCAGACCGAATACTGATTTATGCGATACGAAATAGTATTTAGACGATCTGAGTCGAAAATCATTGAAATTTTCTGCCGGAAAATTAAACTTTTTATACAATCAGCTGTTAAAGGTGAAGGTCATTCCCCGTAGGTATCGCACAAAAGTAATAACTACATGTGTATTCCTTTCAAACAGTCTACGCACACTAACACAAGACGGCGGGAGGCCCCGCGCGCTTCGGCTGTTTGATTAATTGCAGTTTTGTGGTATTTATTAAATTGTTTTTGGTAAAATGTTCTGTCTACTCATGATATCATTTGTCATCATTTTTAACCGGAAAAAATCAATAAAATATTGATGAATTTTCCGGCAGAAAATTTCAATGATTTTCGACTCGGAATCATGGTCTGAATACACTATTTCAGTATCCGGTACGATGCCCCTTACACCTTGTATATACATGTCCTTCATTTCTAGACGCACTGCCGATTGCGGCGGACCGCGATAGAACTAACAGGACGCGGTAAGCCGAAATGCGGCGTGACGTTGCTGCGGCTGACCGTATATGCTACGCATCTACACCTACCACTAATGCATCTACCACTTGTCAGACGTTTGAGCCCGACCAATGAAAATATTCGATCGTTCTAACTAATGTATTATATTAACAAATGTAATGATTATGCTCGAAATGACTATGATCAATTTCCCCAATAAGCCTTTTACTCACAAACTTTTTAGTTTATATTTCCGCTTGTTTCCTTCAATGTGATTTTTTTGTCACATTGTTGAAGACATAAACGAAATTTTACTTACTTCGGTGTGATGATTTCTTTGTAAGTGAGTATCTGCGGTCGCGTGTTGGCAGCGATACTCTGCGGTATCACGATGTTGTCAATGTCGTACGACTGGCGGCGCCACGATCGGGACTCGGTGCTGGAACGACCGCGGGATCTAAAAACACAAAACAGTCAATTATAATTATTGGTCTGTTTACATCTTGCGTAAGGTAAATACAGTACGCCTACGATCTAAAACGAGGAAAGGGAGAGAGGGAGGCCTTCGCCCTGCAGAGAGACAACAGAGGCTAAAAAAAATTATAATAAGACGAATTAGTAGAAACTTGGATGCTACAAACATTATATTATTGAATTTGAGTAATCATTCTTAAAAAAATTATTCAGTTCTGCTTCAATTTTTTTTTGTGTCACAGCCTTCACTCTGTTTCCTGTAATCTATGTTAGTAATATTATGAAAGGAACGCAATCCTGTAGCCGGAAAGCGATTTATTTTGCGATTGTGATTGATAAATCTTCTACGACTATTTCAGACTGTAATTTCACAGATTCGATCGGATTCTTATCGGTTATTTCAAGCAATAGACAATTGGAGTTTCGTAAATATTATTCTATTACATTTTATAATTCATTTGCCCACATATTTTATATAAAAATCGTAAAGGAAAAAAAATGTGTTAAAAAAAAGTATTTCATTATAGGGTTTTATTAACAATTTTGGTTCTTATGCTGCCATGATGAATAGGCATTTACAATTACACGAGCGATTAAAGCGAGCATAGGCCATTATAAGATAAAATTTACCTTTCCTGTCCAGAGGTCGAAGTCTCTTCATCTCTTTCTCTTTCCCTTATTCTCCGTGTGAGTGGGGGTCGGCCTCTTCTCAATCCTGTAACATTAACGAGCGGGTACAATGAAGACGACCGGACGTAGGTGGTGCGTGTCGTACCCTATGCGTCGGATACTCACGGGTGGGATGGTGCCTGCGATGCGTGCGGCCCGAGGCGGGGGCGGAGGAGGCGGCGGGGGTCGCGGCGGGCGCGGAGGCGGAGGCAGAGGCGGCGGCGGCGGCGGGCGCGCGGCTCGCGCCCGAGTGGTGCGCGCCGCGCCACGACTTGGCGAAGCGCGCTCGGAACCAGCCGCGCGAAGACAGCGCCGACATGTGCAGCGCTGGCGGGAACTCTGTCGACCACACTTTCATATAATGTCTCTACCGTCAGATCACACCTTATTACACGAGTCCCTGTATTGGTGTCGAACGAGCGTTCTTTTTATGCAATCGGCAATTTAGACGTAAAAATATAACTGGAGAGGGCAACTCGTGCATCTCGATATGCTATAAAACTAAAAAAATACAGGTAAACAGCAGAGAATACACTTAGGTAGTGACGATAAAGTTATAACTTTTTTTAAATAAAACATACTATTTCAATAATTATGATACTTAGATATATATAATACATTTTCTTCCACTCTAAACAAAAACATTACGCGAGCTTACTAGTTTTAATAACTAGACAGGAAGTGTCGTCGAGGAGCACTGAATTCGCTCGTTCGCTCACAATATTCGATAGACGGAACTCGAATTGCAATATCCAGTTGTGGTAAAGAATAGTTCAGTCGCACCTTTGATATCACTGAGGACCGGATGGTAGGCATGGTCGACGCAGGCGAGGCGCTGCTGGCGACTCAGCGTGCTGAAGGGCGGCGCGGGCTGCGTAGGCTCGGCGCGCCCCGTGCACACCGAGCAGCTCTCGGGCGCCACGCAACTGCATCTGCGAGTTCCGAGTTATGAACATTATGTTCTACGTACAATTATGTTTAAATTTATTTATTTAAGTTTAGAACTAACCCAAACATCTTTATGAGGGGTTGAGCCTCATGAGAACAAAGAACAAGTACTGAGCACTAATAATAATGATTACCTGACATCCGAGGGTTTCGCCGCTTTATTAATAGCCATGTGCAAATTGTGCATCTGTAGCAGCTTCCTCTTCTTGAAAGTCTCGCGTCGCAACGGCCGCACGCGCGCGCATGTGTTCAGCGCCGGGTCATCGTCCGGTGTAGAGGCGCCGGGCAGTGAGCCTTCGTAGCCGACTGGCTCACCCTCGAACTCCACTGGACCTTTAGCCTCCCGGACCTGAAACATGTATTTAAATCATTTAGCTTGTGTGTACACACATACAATGAAACGGAAAATAATATGTTAAACGCTTATGACACATGTCTGTATCTCTAGAAAGGTTTTGCATTAAAATATGCAGACTTTTTTCATCTAAATTTTCATTTTCAGAGGGAAGGTTCATTGCCGTTAACCAAGGTACATTGTGAAGTAAAGATAACAGAATTGGAAGTATTTATTTTCATTAAACCTTTCCCTACCTACCTAAAAACAAAAGCAAGATAAACAGTCGTCGTTTCGGGGTCAATGTCTATGATTTCATAATAAAATCCCAAATAATATTCAAGTTTTAACAAATTTAAATCTACAAATTATGCCAGAAATCCTATTTTTAACAAATCTAATTTTGTTATGGGCCTAGTCACGAATGAAAACTAGTCGTATGTGTGACGACACCGATTCACAACCTTGAATCAACTCCATGTGCGCGACTAGATTTCCATTTCCATGTGGTAATACCTACATGTATTGTGTCTGTGTACACTGCATTTGCGTTGTAGCATTGAAGGTCACAGTATATAAAGTAAGGGTAATTTAAAAATTATAAAACTGGTCTGGGTAAGAATAAATTCGTTGTTTCTTGGCCCTTATTTGATTAGTTTCACTTTTGTATATATGTATGTAAATATCCTTTGCATTAAGTGCGAGGGGCTCGTGGTTAAGTGGTAACCAAGTAGGCACATCATCAACAGCCTTTAATAGTCCAGTGCTGGACCATAGGCCTCTCTTTAGAAAGGTTTTGGCCTACTACTATACCAAGCCCGCTATACCTGCATAGTTTGCTCCCTTACGACACCCACGGGATGAACAGGGATGGTGACACTCCATTTTCTTAATACGTCACCACACGGATAAGTGGGTGAACTTATTTCAAAGTTAAGCAATCTAGCCAGGTCAGTATCTGAATGGGTGACCATTCTTAAGATATTGAGACCTCTGTGTGCAACGGAGGCACTACGACTAGTCGGTCTCGATTGCCACACGAAAGTTTGGCCGTATCGTAGACATACTTTTTGAATAGAATTTTACAACTTTCTTCAAAAGTATTTAAGACTCTGTCTGGTATGCATGTGTCTGGTGTATTTCTAGTAGTGTGATAATAAAACAAATTGTATTAGGTACATAATAATGTCTAAGGTCAAGATTGTGAGTCACAAGCATAAACGTTATCACACGTCTAAAGTGTAGGTCAACGACCTCAGCATGCTAAAATCACGATCCATAATATTTATAGATTAATACAACAATGACGTCTTAGTAATAGGGTAATTTTTATGTATTTCCGTTTATTGGACATGGTGGAAAAAGCAGATTACTTCAAGAGATCAGGTCAAAGTTTTGTACTATGTGTATATAGTAATAATAGTTACAGTTTTGTTCCTAAACCTATGAATATGACCTTACTAAGAATTAAACATTGAATGCAAAAAGATTTCAAATTCAACATTTATTCTAAGTGATCAAGGCGTTTGATAAAAATACCACTTCAGCCTTATATCAGTCTCTAAATTCGTGTTCAAAAGCATTCTGAAAAATTGTTACCTAGTAATATTGTCTGTTTAGAAGGAATTTCCCAACAAACTTTAATCTTAAAAAGATTAAAACTAAAAATGACTCCTAAAAACCCAGTTTGTTAGATCTAACACACTTGAAGCAGTCACAGGTGAGTTTAATGTTCTATATGAATAATTAAAAAAAAAGGATTAACTTCTAATCTAGTTTTTTTTTTAATTTGGAGTTAAATAATCTTTTAAGTGGTCAAGAGATATTAATTCACCTGATGACGTAGTTCGTTGTGCTGTCTGATCTTGTAATCCAACTCCTGCACTTGTGCCTGAAGCCAACTCCAGCGGTACGCGATTGATGCGCGAGCACGCTGCCATGTCCATAAAGCACGCTTTTCTCTGGAACAATTAAATTTTAAGGTGAAAATTAATAGTAAAAGCAACTGTTGTAGTTTCTATCCAGACTTTAAATTGTCAGAATTTTTTTACTAATAATAAATTATTATGGATTGTTTATGGGGAAGCAGGGTAGTTGCATGACACGGGACTGCGACGCGGTAAATCGCTTCAGTTTGATAGAGGACACCTGTGGGGACCATACTACTTTTTTTTTTGTTTTTTACTAGTTCAATATCTCCGAAATACACACGCTTTATTTCTTAAATAATATAATTCCTACCAATGGGAGTTTTTATTGTTTGGTATGAGTGTATCGGTTCCAAACTAAGTAGAAGGCGCATACACGCAGGTACTTTAATTTTATTCCATAGTAACTAACAGCAATTGTGCCAAGTGCCTATAGCCCTCAGGAAAAGATACCCATAACTGACACAAATCACATCATAATCTTAACACTATCAATACTTATCTATACAGGTTAAGGTATTTCAACTATATTTATTACTAGACTATAAATGTGAAAATAGGTTGTTTATTCTTTTATTACTTACACTTTCATACTCTACTTACACTTACTTATGAAATTTTGCACATACATTATAAATTAGGTAAATAACCATAAGAATCAGGAATAAATCTTTAAAAAATTTTTTTATTCTCAATAATTAAAAAAAGACAGGTTAGAAGCTAAACAACGAAACGACGAAATTTTAACTATGTGAAGGAGTGTTTATAAGCTAATAAATCATAATATACAGTATTGAGACAAAAGTTCAAATGTCAGGGATTCAACTTTACTGAATAAAAAAAAAACAGTCAGTGGGTCAAGTCACTATGAAAATTTTAAAACACTAATGATAAGGAATTTATTTAATCATCTACTGAATGCCTACAATCCTTTCTCAAAAGAAAAACATAAAAAACCTGATAGGGATCTGCAGATCTGTCAATTGTGACACTAACTGTAGTAAAGCAGAAAGTAAAAGTTGTGATCTAATCTACACCAAAGCATGGTCAGGTCAATTAGGTGGTTAGCTAGCCAATAGGCAGTAGGTCAGTTTGAACAGCTATATGTAACTAGTAGTTGGTGCCCGCAACTTGGTTTATGAGGAATTGAAAAGAGCTGCCTTAGAGGTGTAGTATGGTACACAACTGCAGTTTATGAGGCCTCGGATTCGATTCCCGGCACCAACAATTTTTTTTAAGGATTTTTCTGAGAAAAAATAACCAAGTTACTCCTTACGTATACACAGCTATCTGGTAGCCAAATATTATGAAAATCGGTCCAGCCGTTTTGAAGATTACCCTCAACAGACAGACAAAAAATATTTAAACTAATTGTTAGGCATAGGTATCATGCAGATAACCATGTAAGCATGAAAAATATATATAAATATATATATCTTGCACATCTCACACACGGCGATCTGATCCCAAACTAGGCACAGCCTGTACTATGGTAACTAGTCTACTGATAAACATACTTATATATATTTAAATAGATAGATATTATAAATAAATTACACCCAGACACAGACCAAATGACCCTGCTCATCATACAATATTTGTCCTGGGTGGGAATCGAACCCACAACCTCCGGTTTAGCAGTCAGGGTCACTAACCACTAGACCAACAGGCATTTATCACAACCTATTGTTTTGAAATTACAATCAGACACTTCAATTTTATTTATAGACAGATGATAAACATGTTGTAACTTGACTACTCATGTTCATAATTATTCTTTTACAAACCCTAAAAGTTTGGTTTTATTAATCTAATAAGATGATATCTGAATCCCTGAAAATGTGAAAATGGCAAACATGTGTGACCATATTAAATTAATAATTCTTTTACAAAATCTTTCAATTTTTGGGACTATTGTCTGTATTAGTTTTGGTGTAGATTAAATTATTTTTTTCTGTCGTAAACTTTGATAGGTCAAGAAATTTAAGTGAGTGACAAACTCATTTTACTAATAAATTTTATGCCTAATAATTTGTGAAATAAAGTGAATATTTACATAAATCATTTAGCTATGAGATAAAGTTATTGCAACAATCACTTATTCATGTTTACATAAATATGCTACTTGCTAGAAATTATACATATTATGTAAAACACCCATTTACAGTACCATTACTGACATAATTGAGAATAATGATAAAACTGGCAAATAAATATTATCTGTTTAATGTTTTTATTATTAATATTTGTAGACTGTAGTGTTAATTAATAGTAACATATAAAAATTATTTTGGCTAACTCTGTGGATAAAATACTGGCTTTCAAACAAAACCAATATCAATACAATGTTAAAACTTAAAAAAGGGCAACACAACCATTTAAAATGTTTATTTTACTTTAAAAGCAATGTTTTGTGTACATACACATAAGTATGTATACATACATAACAGGTGTTGTGTTGTTATTGACTACTCAAATTGTGAACAGATTCAATTCAATCCTCTTATTTCGAGATTTGGTGAAACCGAATCATGAAATATTTTTCTGCTACATATCTAATAAGAATTATTTTGTGTTCTATTCCAACAAAAGTATGTTCAGATTTAAGTTTTAAAAAAGTTTAACAAACTTTACTAGAATTTTTGTGTGAATATATTTGTGTGAGATGGCGTTGTGTGAATGTGATTTATTAGAACTGTTTTGATGTTTGCGAGCGTAATGGCCAACTAATGTGTGTAAGTGTGCGTACCGGCCTGTTCATACAGTGAGCTGGCTGACTTGAGTGACACAGTTTTTTGTTAGCAAGACTCAGTCCAACTTTTTTTATACGTCCATGGCTATTAAGTATTGAATATTTGATAAAAATCAAGTAAAATAAATACCAAATAAAGTATAATAAATACCATAACATAAATATAAGTAAGATATTTCTTAATATTATAGACTAACAAAAATTGTTTCTTAGACAGCTATAATGTTAAAAAATTGAGTATACTATTTTCTCATTGTTCTCTTTCCAAATACACACACAAAAGCCATTTAATTCAATTAGACAAATAAAGTTACATAAAAATGAGGAAAACCATAGACTGTTATAAAAACCAGCCAGAATTAATTAATTAAATAGGTTAAAACATTGACCTTTTAATCCATAACAAACACAGATTAAATGTATTGGATAATTTTTCAGATAACACTGTAAAATCATATCCTTTCATACATACCTACAGCATAGTATAACCACATTTCTTTTTGCCCTTTCACCCTTTCTTTATACAGAAATTTACAATATGTATAAAAACGGGACTGAATCTAGTATATTGTGTATAAAAGAGCTATTGTGTAGCATACCTATTTGACCTTGTTTCTTATTTAGATTTTGACCTAATACCAACTTAGTAATAGAATATTGGAATGATGCAATATCTTAAAAATGGTTGACATTATGAAGTGCTTCTATGTGTATTATTTATGTAATTAGATCTTTTAGACTTATCTATTCTGGTTTAGTGTAAAAGTTCTGCTTGTTTCAGCTACATAGTGTCTGTAGTTATCAGAACATTCTTATTGTGATGTATATAACAATATTTGGTATTTTAAAGCTTGACAGGTCAAATAGTGTGTAATATAAAATAATATATTAAGGACTTAAAAGATTATCATTTTTCTAGTGATGTCAGGTACAAAGATAAATTGATGAGAAATTTTATGATTTAAAGTTTAATGGAATAATTTACATTTTTACATTAAAAAATAGATTTAAAAGTGGGATCTGATTGACATGATTCAACTGGTTTATTGGTTAAATTACACAAATTAGATACAGCTTTCTACATCCACATCCTGACAATTTACACAAGCAGTGAAATAGAATACAAGAGATTACTATTTCTTGACTTAGCAGTTGTAAAAAGAGATGCCAAGCGGGATGTTACATGTTTGGAGAAATTATAATTCTCCTAGATCCTACAACCTTATAGAACTTTGTAATATATGGCTAATAATGCCTATGAAAGCTAGATGAAATATCAGGCAAATGAATGGTGTGTTTTTCTTATAAGATGATAGAGTATATTCCTTAAAATACACAATTATATTTTAAGATATTGCTGGGAGAGCATTAAAAGGAAAAGTCTAATATGAATTTAATAGATTACGGTAAAATTCTAATTGTTAATTAGAACTTTCAAGATTAAGTAATTTGAATAATATACTATATTACTATATATATATATTGTATATACTAGAACTTACATTGGCATAGGTTGTTGATGTAGATTGTTGTATGGAACAGCCTCATCGTTGCTTTCAGCACCAGATGACGTAGCTGTGGCATCAGAGTCCAGCTCATGCTTTACCACTGACAGGTGTGAACGAAGAGCACCTGCAGTGTCTTCTAAGCCTGCTAAGGTACCTGATGATACTCCTATACAAGCAGATCTAGATGCATCCCCTTTAGATGTGCCTGGATTATAATATTTAGGTCCTGCAACAGCCTTTGATGCCGCACTTGCTTGCAAAGCAGCTGTGGTCTCTACAGTTTTTAAGAATGTTTTTAATCCAACAGGTCTGCCTCCACCATCCCTACGAGATCCACGAGCACACTTCTCAAAAGTTTGTGCTGCTTCTTCAGACACTTTTTTTCCTATGGCTCTAGCCTGTAATATCCTCAATCTTCTCTGCAAAAATGCACATCTCCTTTCCAAACGTACCTGTACTCCCTTAATTTTCTCTTCCACAGCATCACCCTCTGAATCAGCAGTTGTCTCAGGCAAATCAAATCCAGAGAGGGGAAAAATTCCATCAGGATCACCTGATGAGAGTGCATCGCCTCCAGTTTCTAATGTCTTGATAGCCTGTAGTAGATCTGCTTGGACTATATCACTGTTACCTAAATCAACTAAGATTTGTTCCATTTCTTGTGAGTCCTTAGCAAGGCTAGGTTGTTGGTTTTGGAGGCCCATGTCGTCTTCCTCCATGTGTGTCGCCAAGTTATCGACGGACGCTAGCGCCCGTCTCCGGTGGGGCAGCGGCTTCTCGTTTTCTTCCACGATGTTGGTGTCGAGGACGTGCGGCTCTCGAGGTGCGATAGACAATGCTGGGGCCATGACCCGCACCTCGCCCGCCTCGGACGCTGGCGCCGGCCGCGTCAGGGCGGGCTTCTTGTACAGTTCATTACGTCCTTATGTAACACTGATATCTAGAGTTCACAACACTAACACCGCACTGGTTTTCACTTATTACGATGTTCTTGGTTCGCATTCTTCATGGAATCAATCCCCCGCCGGCTCCATGACGAGCCGAATAGATCGGAGAGCCGACAGCGGTTCGGCGCGCTTCTGAAAAACAACGTTCATGAAGGGTTATGAACCGGTTTTTTGCTTTTTAGAGAACACATCCTTATTATCTCTAAATTCACAAAGAGGGTCCGAAAAAAATCAGTACACAAAGCCGCATAATTCGAAATTTAACCCACGTGATAACGAAAAGAGTACGCTAGCGGCGGTCACAGTTGCTTGTTTCTTTACGATATGAAACAGGAAATGATACACTTCCAAAACACTTTCGGCAGGCACTTCTTTTACAGATTCTATAGCCTAGTAACGTTTAATATGAGTTTCGCGGAAAATACAACACCAAAATAATTACAATGAAGATTTTTTTTTAGTAATAATGGCGGAACCAGGCCAAAAAACACTAGCGAACTGGGTAGGTACCAATATCCAGTGACGAAACGTTGTGCCGCACACGACTCGCGTTCACTATAGATACTTGTGGAAAAGAGACAGCACACACGTCCTTGAATAAGTACTTGCGCGGTAAAGTCAAATTAGTAACCTCCCTAACTCATAGATCGATTTATTCTCGTATTAAATTAATTATTATATAAATCAGATGCAACTAATTTAAAAAATAAGGGGCCTTTTTCATGATATCTAAATTATTTCATTACGTTAGAAGTGTCAAAACGATTATAGACTACACCGCCACGCTATTAATCAATTCCAAAACCTACAATACTAAAAACGTTATAGTTGTATTTTTTTTATAATGTTTAAATTCATAATAAATATTATAATATTCGTAAATATTCTCATTTATTATCAATATTATAAAGTTCTAAACTTAATAACAATTGCATTAAAAGTAAAGAGTGCACTTCCGGTGCTATCGAAAATCATTAGTCGCGTTCCAGGCGCACTAAACAACAGTGACACTGCATATAAAGCATAACTAAACGTGCCGTCTTCTACATTTGTACGATTTCCTAAAATACATTTTTTTACAATAAGTGGTAGCCCACGTTCCGTTATTAAAATAAGAACGCAGAAATATTTAATTTTGTACTTTAGTAATATTTTATATATATATTCTTTTAGCACTCTTACAATTACTACAATCGTATTTATGTTATTGTTTGCCTTCAGAGTTTCATACAGTAGATAACGCGTTTTGTTTTCCGCGTCTTACTTCCATAATGCGTTTCGTTATATGCAGTATAGGTATGCTGTCTACGTTTCGTTCCGATCTATAAAACTCAATTACAGATAGTTGTGAATTTAGGAGAACATGTTAAATTAATCACCTATGATTCCTGACAATGAAATATAAAAGTAGTCATAAATTGCGAACCTGAATAAACTGCTCAGGCATTGGTCATCCAAGTACATTCAAATCATTCATCATCATCTAATGTACATGTTATTTACCATTATTGCTGAACAATTTCATGTTTAATCAACTATCACCTAAAGCTGCAATGGGTGATTATTATATCTGCAAATACACAGAAGTAAATAAAAAATTGCAAGCCCTACATTTAGGGGTGCAGTCAAAATTAGGTGGAGATGTTAATTAATCTCTTTTCAACTGATTATTCTTAGTATATTTCAGTTTCTATTATTGAAGTACCTATCTAGTAAAACATACCAAATATCTACAGAATGAAATCAATATCATCATCATCATCAATGATGATGATATTGATTTCATTCTGTAAAAAATATAGTATATATCTAGTAAAACATACCAAATATCTACAGAATGAAATCAATGAGTAGTACCTAATTGGATGGTAATCTACCTATAAATTAATTAAGAGCCTTACGTATGGTAACTATAATCTGCGACCTAAGCATCCATTTCAATGCATTTGTGAAGACTAAATGATCATTAACAATAATAAGAATACAATCACTAGCTTACCCTGTCAATATATTTATCAAAAGTTTTTGTAAATTTTGTGAAAAATATTTGAAAATGTAATACATCAGAAGACCACTAAAAGTTTTAAACAGTAGTTAACAAAATAATTTGTAGTTTATAAATAATTTCTTACCTCTTTCACACTAGACATCACTGCTGTATGATGTACTTGCACACCGTTAAATAGAAAGTGAACTTTTGATATCCACATTTCATAGAGCATTTTTGGCCTATAATTAAAAGAATTCAATCATAAATTTGTATTCATGCACATAAATTCACTCTGCAATAGAATTCTATTACTTCCAATAACATTACTCCTGACAGTTGGTTGACACAGGAGTTAGGAAAAAATTATGTCATTAATGTCAGTAACTTAAAACAAAATCTATTTTTATACAAATTATGATAACATACCACAGTACATATATAATGCAGTCTTCTTGAATGAACAAGTCACACTAAAGTCAACTTTTATTTCCTAGCAACAAAACAGCACATGTCGACAGCTGCCATGCAAGAGTTAAATATATCTTTCTGTAAATTTTGTTGGATTTAATTCTATTAGAATTCTCCAATATAAATTTTGATTATTATTACACATATAACTACTTGACAGTTTATAATGACACTAATATCCGGGCCCCACGCATGTACAATATATATGTATACATTTATTTCATCAATAATACTTAAAATGTTTATTTAAAAGAATACCTCCTAATTTTCATGCAGCCATGCAGTGTGTTCTGTATTCCAAAATACAACTAAAAACTTAGTTTTAGCGCATTACCCTGCCCCACGCAGTTAATATATTTTACATTTTAATTATATATATAAATATAGTATATATAATGTAAAATATAATATATATTTTATTTATATTTTACTATTTTATTTAATGCATTTCATATATTACATTTACTTCATCAATAATACTTCAAATGTTTATTTAAAAGAATACCTCCTAATTTTCATACAGTGATGCAAGTGTGTTGTGTATTCCTAAATACTAATTAAAACTTCATTTTAGCCTATTACATAATAATAAGTATTTGAGGATTTTATATGTAGACAAAAATGCTTTTATGGATTGGATTTGTAAAGAATATTATATATATAGGTATGGGTATACGGTATCAAAGTAAATTATAATTACACATGTAGTTAAACAAAATAGGAAGGGAAATGTTAAATTGTAAAAAAATATGTATACAGAAAAAATCTACATAAATGTTAACTTTGTATACTATTCCGGTGTTAAAATGTGCAATCTTAAGGTTTTGTAACTCATGGAATTGATTTTAAAAGAGCTTTTAAGTCTTGTGGAGTATGTACCATATTATATTACAAATACTTGCAATATCTACTAGTTTATACATCTCCTACTTCACACCTATAACTATACTGTTGATTACTGTAATACAATGATCACAATATATTTATATAATGAAAGTTATTTCTTGTTACATGTGGCTACTTGGAATCATGAACATAATATTAACAGTATCAGTAGTTATGTAGACTGGTTTTAAAAGATTTTTATGGACAATTAATAATGAAATAATGCAAAACTTAATAACAATTTATAACTTATACTGCTTTAGAATTCATATTCTATGTACTTTGCATAATTCATATTATACATGTAAAAAGAAAGGAGTTAGTTAAGTTTTAGTGAAACTATCAAAATTTAATAAACTTACACGCAAGACCGCATTCCCTACTTAAATTGTAATTAATTCTATAAACCATGTAGTAAATTTGAATCAAATAAGTGTATGTATAAATATATTAAATAATTTAAGTACCTTATTTTTTATTTATTTTTCTTTCTTACCTTATCGCACAACGACGTCTAGTGAGAGAATGAGAAAGAGTGAAGTATTAAATGAAGCTCTTTCATAAAGAGTGAAGAAGCGATAAATAAAAAATAAAATACCAAGACTAAAACATCATTTAAAAGTCTACTGTACTTTAGTAATATAATTATTTGATTACATGTTCGTGTAAAAGTATCCTATCCCTTTAAAAGAATAAAATATTTTTTTCCAAACTTCCACAAAGTAGTATTGTTGATGTTCAAATACTTAGTAAAAATCGGCGCTGTGTGTTTATACACTTTACAATAACGATAATAGAGATAAAGCGAGTAATAATTATTAGCAGTAGCTTCAAAATATCACGTTTAATAAATTATTTTAAATTGAAGTAATTTATCTTCAAGCGAAACAGATTATTGAATTTAGATTTTGAGCACACTTTTTAACCCCGCCACAATTTTAAACCCTATGTTATGTCATTAGTGTCAAATATATAACCCACCTACCATATGAACCAACAGCAAAGCAGCCGGCGCGCTTTTATTGTATTAAACCGATAGTAACCGATTTATAGGATGGCTCAGTTCGATAAAAGTCAATTGCATTCAACGCAGTTTACACCACTGAAAAATAAAAGAAATAGACAGTTATTAGCCAGAGAAGACACCTTAAACTTATCGCCGATATTTAATGAAACTTCTATTTTCAAAAGTTTTAACGATACCAGCTTAAGACAAGTTCTGGACGAATCATCGATATTATTGACTCCAGGAGCCTTCGGTGAAAATTTGAGTGAAGCTTTCTTTGAGATAATTCAAACAAGCCGTCCTAGTAATGTACTGGATATTTTGGCGAGGTTATCTCAGGTATGTTGTGAGTCTCTTGAGATCGTAGAACCTTGTAATAGATACAATGCACAAAACTATTGGTTAGCGGAAGAAGCGAATACCTGGAAACTTCTCCACTGCTTATATGCTGATTCTTTGACTGAGCATCCTGAGTCATTGGACAATTTGATCACTGAAACCACATTATCTCAGCAAAATTTAGTTGATGCATTATTTAGAAGTGATTCTGAACTAAGACTTTTACAAATATTGGTAGACTGGCTAGAAGCAACTGCTGCTTATCAAGAAGAAGCTACTAAAACATCAGCTCCTATTATTGGCAACGATGTACATTGGAGTAACACTTTGCATCAACTATTAATTGGCTCTAGTTTGTTTAACAAAGAAAAGAATAAAGCTATGGTTACTTGCATGGATCCGGATGCTCCTAGACGCCAAAAGAAAATAGTTCACTCTGATGACCAAAAAGATGACAATGATTTATGCAAGAGAATTTTTACAGAAGTAAGGTGTGGCAAATTCACAGAGGCAGTTTCCTTGTGTATTAGCACTGGACAAGCCTGGCGAGGTGCTGTCCTCCAAGGATGGAGATTGCTTCACTACTATCCCAAGGAAGATGCTTACTCTCCTCTAGATATATCTGGCAACCCTTCAAGAGATTTATGGAAATGGTGTGCATTGCAATTGGCAAATAACACTACGGAGAACTTATATTACAGAGCTACAGTTGGAGTTTTGTCTGGTCATCTTCCCAGTGCATTATCTGTTTGCCAAGGCAGTTGGGAAGATATACTATGGGCTCACTTAAAAGTTCAGATTGAAGTTAGAGTAGATAAGTTTTTACGTGAGCATCATGCTACAGTTGATGCAAATACTACACCAACTGATGTTCTTGCTTTACTGCAGTCAGAACTTCAAGTTGAAGAACTGTCTTTGGTACAAGTTTTTAGTGCTGTTAAAGCATTGATGGATAACAAGAAAGAATCTTTGTACCAAAATTGTCAACGTCATTTAATGCTTGGTCATGTTAGAGCTATTATGCAAGATTCTCTAGAATGGATTGAAAACTGTGATGAAAGATTTGTGAGATTTTTGGCTCATCTCATACTCATTTTAAGAGTTATGGGCAAGGATCCTCAACATGATATCGGGGATAAAATTTTGGAAAAATATGTCACACAACTTGTTACTAAGTTGATTGATGGTTCTGTTGAACAACCTGAACTGATTGCCTATTACACTTCTAATGTTCCAGTAACCAGACAAATTATATTATATTCAGAATTAATGGATCACATTCATAAAAGTGAGTATAGACAAGGAGTGGTGAAAGCAGGAGTCGATGCAGGTATTGATGTTGCAACTTCAGCTAGAGTAGCCATAAAAAAAGCTATTGCAGATATTCAGCTAGGCTATGGAAATTTGGATTTGACTTTTACTCAAACATCTGCAGTTGAAAAGGATAAAACTTTAATACAAAAAGTTATATCTTCTCTCGAGTGGTTGTCTCTTATTTCAAACCAACATGAAGAAGCATTGTGGCTGAGTAATGCTATGATCCGCACATTCATTTTTATTGGAAACACAAATGCTGCTTTAGCTTGCGTCACAAATGTTGATGATATGTTTCCAGAAATTATGAGTAACATATCGTCCAATTCTGCAGAGCTAAGAGAACATTTGTGTTTGAAAGCTTATCTGGAAGCCTTAGAAGGATTTGCTACATGGTATAGGCATTTTATAAGTGGACAGCCTAAGGACGTAGAACCTTTACAATCTGATGCATCATTCTCAGACAAAGTGCACCATGAACAAAGATGTGCTCAAGTTGAACAACAAAAGGCTCGCTGGTTAAATGCTGTACAACACCAAGCCAAACACACGAAAAATCTACTTTATAATGTTTTACTCTTCCCTGGTGGTTGGCTTCAGGATGATAGAGATAGTTCTACATCTCAAAAATTCAGTGAAGATGAAAAGCAAGAAAGATCAAAACAATTAGAGACCTTAAGACGTCTCTGTATTCCTGAAGTTGTGATATTGATTTTAAAAATCTTGCAGAGTAGTGATAACATAGATGATCACAAAGAAGCTGTAAAATTGAGTAATCTGATAGCTGGAGAGAATAGATGTTTATATAAAGTATTCACAAAGAATAAACTGATGGAGGTTTTGGAGCGGATCAAAGAATCGTCACTAACTTTATTGGAAAAAGGAAAAGATATGTTTGGTTATGAAATTATAGAATAAGTGTATTTCTTACTTTGCTAATAATAAAAGTTTCAATTAACAAATTATATTTTTTATTGTCTTGTAATATTAACAGAAACAATTAGATATAAAAAATATTCTCTGGTGACTAGGATACAATTACAGGATTTAAGTTTATCAATTCGTTACTGGATTCTGCTAAATCGGTTATTGAAACTCTTCCGCGCTGTCTTATGAACTTCGCTACATCTTCTAGTTCTTTTTGTGATATGTAAATGAATTTTCCCCTGTCATCTATAACACCAGTGAGGTCCCCAGAAGCTTGCAAATCTGTTATCCGGTCAATGGCGGCTTGCGTCTTCAATTTAAAATGTGCTGCCAAATCTTCAAGTAAAACAACTTTTTGTGCCTGAAAATATATGTTTTTGTTAATTAATAATTTAAATACAAAATTTTACTATATAGAAAATTATAACACTGGACCCAAAAGCCTTGAAGTGCAAGTGATAAGTTATACTGCTTATTTCCCGTTCTGTGATTTGGTCAATATAGAATAAGTGATACAGTGGTCATTTAACAATAAATCAGGAAGGGCATGAACAACTGACGTGGAAAATATTGTGCACAATATGTAAGCTTTCTGGTTTTAAGATGAAACAGCGATGAATAGTGAAAGACGATACTTGTTCCAGGCAGAATGACAATGAGGATTGAGTTACAACACAATGTTTAAGTTTTCTATTTCAAGGCTGACTACCCAATGCTTTTATCTATCACTGGATTAAACTAATTGTTCCCTTAACTTAATGCATTTACACAGATTGGATGAGCTTTTACATATTTTAAACCAGGGGTTCTTAGTGGTCGATATCAACACCAAGGGGTCCACTTACACGAAAACTGATTTTGCAGGCCAACGAGCTGTTAAAAACGACCCGTTTTAACTAACACAAGTTCTCATTTGAAACTTTCAAGATACTATATTAGTTGTGTTATGTGTACCAACTTGTTATAAGAATGACTAATATTTTAGTAGGAAGTATCATTGTTGTATTTCTAAAAAGCTCAACAAGTCTATGGGAGTTTGAGGTATCAGTTCATTTTAGAAAAAGGGGTCTCTTGCCCAAAATAGTTTGAGAATCCATTTTAAACAATCTCAGCTAACTTTATCAAGGTATTGGTCCAAACGGACAGAGAAATTACTCAACGAAAGAACCTGTACTAGGCTGACTATAAAGCTTAATGGAGACCGTTATCTACAGACAAAGTGACAAAAGTTATGAGAAAACCAGTTTGCCAACTTTCTTTATGTCAACATTTAAAATAAAGGAGAATATCCCATTTCTATTGATGGTGATACTTTAGATTGGGGTTGTTCAATATATAATATATTAAAAAGAAATATTAAACATAGTCATCCTTTTAACAAATACATAACTTAGACAGTTGATTAGGGCGACCTCTAACTGATAACCTCATCATCAGCCTATAGCAGTCCACTGCTGGACATAGGCCTCTCCCATTGCACGCCACTTAGATCGATTTTGGGCTTCTCGCATCCAGCTCCTGCCAGCCATCTTGCGCAAATCGTCACTCCACCTGGCCTGTGATAACCTCACCTCAGATAATAAAATTGTTTATATACCAACAAGTTGTAATGTACCTTTATATAATCAATGAAGTCCTTCAATAAATTCTCCTTGTCCTCTTCTTCATTTTCCTCAAATCCCTCTCCTTCTACAGTGAAGGCTGCCTTTAAGGCCTCATACTCTGCTTGTTCGCGTTTTTTACGTTCTTCTTCTGCCTTGCGTTCTGCCTCCTCGCGTTGTCGTTCTTCTTCCTATGATACAAGTTATGTTTATTTATCAGACAACTGTACTTACCTAGTATACATTTAATTTATTGCCATTTTAATATTATAAGCTAATGCCAAGTCAGAAGATGTGGGTTCAATTCTCATCCAACACAAATAATAGCTTGTTTTGTGCCTGGGTATTATTTTATCTGAAAATATTCTAAATACATAAAATATGTATGAATTTAGAAATCCCTACTAATATTATAAATGTGAAAGTGTGTCTGTCTGATACTCTTCACCCTTAAACCACTAAACTTATTTCAATGAAATACGTTGATATAGAAATAGTTGGAATCTCGAGAAAGAACATAGGATAGTTTTTAGCAAAGAAAGAAAAGGGTGAAAAGGGGGGTGGAAGTTTGTATGTGGCATCAATAAACGCTGAACTGATTTTGATAAAATTTGATATAAAGATAACTTGATTCTTGACTAGTAAGTATATAAGTTTATTTATCTAGTAACTAGATTCTAGTTGGTTGGTCTGCTTACTCTGCCTTCTTTGGGATCAGACAAACACGTGAGAGATGTGTAATTTTATTTGATCATACCTCTTGTTTTTCTTCTACTTTCTTTCTTTCCTGTTCCATTTCATCATCTCTTTTCTTTTTCATCTCTCTCATTTGTTCTTCAGCCTCCCTTGCTTTTTTCTTTTCCATTTTAGCTTCTAACTTTGCTCTTTTCTGAGGACAAAAATAAATTTACCCTTATTTAACAGATACTTCTTTTTCTTTACAGATTCTTGCAAAAATAAAAACACCTGTTCGGTGAATTTGAGTGAGATGCAAATGCAAATGTTAATATACTCATAGTACAAAAGCAGTTTCCTCAAGCCGTTGTTAGATTTATACCTTTGCACCCATTTTGTCATCAAATTCTATTTTCTGAGTTTCTTGAGGGTTGTCTTCATCTGGCTCCTCAACAGCTTCAGCCTCCTCGTCAAATGCAGCTGCTTGGTTGCGAGCAGCTACAAAATTCATTTAAAGGTTTAAAAAGTTCCTTTAGCAAAATTATTGTTTTGTCTAACATTAAAATAATCTATTTATTGTTCAAAATATTACAAAATGAGACTACAAGTGACTCTATGTACAATTTTTAACTGTCTTCAGAATAAGGAAGTTTGTATGTTATGAATCATTTCAGACATTCTTTTATTCCCAAGAGTGTATTTCCCTTATGTGTTTCAAATGTAAGGAAATAATACCACCCCTAAGGATGCAAGTTAGGGAATGAAGAATGCAGTCTTTTACAAATTAATCATGTCGTAATCACATTGAAGTTAGTGCTACTTTTAGGTAAGTACATTTATAAACATAAAATAACTTCAAATTCACAATTTAACTGCTTAAAATATGACAAATGGACATATTGTTCCTCTTTTATTGTAATAAAATTTATTTGAATTTGTCTCTGCCTACTTAAAAGAAATTTATCAAATGGTTAAGGTTTTAATTAAATTAAAACCTCTTCCAAGGAGAGGCCTATGTCCAGCAAAAGGCATGTATGTATCTATTAAAGGCTGTTGATATGATGATTTTAATCGTAGCTAATCTGATTTTATTTAACATAACATTTTGTGTCATAGATTCATTGGGAAATATACCAAAATAAATTAACAAAAAGTACTTCCCATTTTTTTATAAAATCCTATTAGACTTTTTTAACTATTGATATGTTTCTTTGGACGAATATTAATCGCACTTAGCTAGATGCTTTGTCTTGAGAGAAAGAAGTTTAAACTATTACTAAATAAAAAATAAATGAATACCATTTGCTCTCATCCTAGCTCTCTGATTACGAACAGCTTGAACTCTACCAGGACCTCCATCTCTTTGTACAACTGCTCTCGGTCGTGCACCAGCTGTAGATTAAATACATTGAAAATATAATCAAAACATTGTCTTTAAACAGCTAACACCATCTCCTAATCACTATCAATTTATATTTATCCTATGATATTCAAGAGAAGGAGTCAGAGTTTTGTAAAATATGTTTACCTTGGGGTTTTACTTGTGAAACAACTCGACTAAAAGCAACAGATAGAACAACGATAACTATTGCGCTAATAATAGCAGTAATTATAAATGGATCCATGTTAATTATATTGAATTAACTATTTTAATAAATATTTTTATTTTCCTCTGAAGTTCTTAATAGAAACTTTCTTGTTTTAAATTTGAAGCAATTTCCTTTTTTTAGACATAGACATGATAAATATAACATCACAGAAGAAAGACAGTATTTGAAACGTCACCAATAAATTGGCATAAAATTAATGTTGCCAATCATTGCCAAAGTTTATTTTTTGTTTTCAGTTTATATACTTTGGCAATGATTGGCAACCGATAATTTTGGATAATTTCAACAAGTTAATTACGAAGATATTATTTTTTAATTAAGTTACAGAATACAAAATAGTATTTATTTTATTTATTTCCATTAAAAACAATTATCATTACAGGTTCAGCCCAATGCGATAGTGTTATACCACCTACTTATTTGTTATAAGAAATAATTCTTAATGCTGTATTGTGAATCCACTCAGTGAGCAATAGAATAAATCTATCTATGGAAATGGGTGGTGGAATACTTAATGCCGACGTGTTAGAACAACTTAATATATGTGTTCCGGACAGTTAATGGATACAATAGTAGAATAGTAGTTAATGGATATAATAGTAGTAGTATTAATAAAGAAGACCAGCCAAATCATTCAAGTAAATAGCAAGTCTTCTCACCTATAAAATGCAATTCCAATTGCATACCAATCCTACAGTAATATTGACTAGAAGTTTCGTTTTTTCCTATCGCATGAATTTTATCTCCTCCGGGGTTAGAGTTGTTTTCTAAAAAAATAATTAAGCTAAATCTTTTCACTACATTAGATAGCAATTATAACAACATTGATACAGAACGGTGCATCATAGAAATATTGAAAATGGAAATTGACCATATCAAAACTATAGGTTTTATTTTAGACAAATAAGGTTTAGTCATGAAGTTTCAAGTGACTTAAAAGGAAAGCGCAAAAACATAAAACGGCCTAGCTTACAAGAGTTAACAAGAGTATTAGTGTTAATACTTTTGTAAGGCTCAAAGGGAAATTTATTTATTTGTCGGCTAACTGGAGGTTACAAAACCCACATTCAGGGTGTTAATATTGAAAAGAACGCGAGTTATAAGTTTTTTAAATGGTAAAAACCGTGGTATTTTGAAATTTGCAATTTTCTTTGTACGATTTAAAGTTTTCTCGTAGAACGCGATGAACCGTTTCAGATTTTTTTTTATATTGACAAACGGAACCTCGTTGAAATGAAATATCAACTTCAACTTTTGGTTAATGGCTTTGTGGTAGAGTGTAACCACAATTTCGCCAATGTCATGTATTTGAAATACAAACTGTCAAAGGATTTTATGTAGAGCTGTGGTAGAGCCAAAAAAAAATTTTGAGAAGAAATGAAATATGTTAATCTTAACGTTGTCAACTAACGGGCGTAAAAAGAAATGGTGGTTATCAATTTTATTTCTGGATTCGCTAATTCTATCCGACTACATTGGGGATAGATAGTAAGATGAAGCTGATCTTAAATTATAATCTCAGATCAAATAGCTTTATACAATTGTATTTAAAAACGGCGTAGTACACATCGCCGGTCTTTTGGGAAGGAGTACACTCTTTACTAATATTATAAAGCTGAAGAGTTTTCTAGTTTGGTTGAACTAATGTCCATCAAGGAAGGCTACAGGCTATATAACATCACACTACGACCAATACTATTTTTAAAACAGGGAACCTTAATCCTTTTGAGAGACGCAGATAAAGTTCTCAGCTAGTAAATATACAATGCTGAATAACAAAGCAAAACAAGAAACTTTACTTTGGGCATTTTCTTCCTTACGATCAAAATAATAAAAGAGTTAATAACTGCGATTAGTTTCTTGTCTGAATTAAAGTTTAATTCTTGTAATTTGCAATAATATTAATACATAGCAGTGCACATAAAATAAAATATTACACAACATTTTTTTTGTCCCTTACAAAACAAATAAAAATTGATAAAACGTGTGACCACGAGTCTGCAATGATAAAACAATATATACATTAGGTACTTTACTCTGCTTTAATTTAACACAAGCAATTGAGTATTAAATGAAATGACCAAGTTGTTCAATTAATAATTTATTATAAATAATATATAAAAAATATAAATAATTTAGTGTAAACTTGAATGTGAAAATGGCTTTTGTACACACATGTTCAATTTATTGAAATATTCACGATGGAACAGCAACTTTACATGACGTTTATTTTGGATGACGTGTGTCATGTCATCTTTCGTTTTTAGCCGATTCTTATAAGCGGAAAGAAAATGGAAATATTTAAAATATCCTCTTTAATTGCGTTATTTATTGTGTTCGACGTAACTTCAGCCTTATATTTCCACATAGCAGAAGGCGAGAGAAAATGTTTCATAGAGGAAATACCCGATGATACGACTGTTATTGGTAAAAGCGACTTCAAAAATTTTAATCTTATTCTTATTAGGACTAGGACTAACGATTGTGATTTTATTTTTTAGTAAATTACAAAGTGGAGCTTTATGATCCCAGGTCGGGAGGATTTATGCCTTCGACACCTGGTATCGGTATGCATGTGGAGGTTCGAGACCCGGATGACAAGATGTTAATGTCTCGCGTGTACTCCTCTGAAGGCATGATTTCTTTCACGTCGGTCAAGCCGGGAGAACACGTTATCTGCATGTACTCTAATAGCACATCTTGGTTTAGTGGGTCACAGCTAAGAGTAAGTACCTAACTGTTATTGATACATATAGGTATGCAAAAATAAGATGCTTAATATTAAGTGAATGCCGGTATTCGGAAAAGTAATTCAGGGGAATTCTATTAGAGTATTTTACAAGTAACACACTTTGTCTGCCTTAAATTTGAAGAATAAAATTGATTAACTGTTTAATACTAAATGCTTTAAAGTCTAATATTGTGCCAAATAGTTGTATGCTTTATGTATGTAGAGGGAAAAATACTAATACCTAGAAGTATTTAACAATCAAAATTCATATTTGGCAAAGCCCTGGCAAATTAAAGTTTTCAAATAATTTATTTAGACGATATAACCGTTACAAAATAGATTTTAGTTTGTTGCATATATTACAGTATTGTTCAAAGGCTTAAAGAAAAAGTAAAGTTGTAAAGGCTCTTGTTTTCACTTGTTCAAATACTGTGATGTCATCATATTAACATGATTGTTAAATAGATCTTAGTATAAGTACAAGTTTTTTTTTTTCAATTTTTTTTTATAATAACTTTACACAGCTCCCATTCTGCTGTTTGGTCAAATTCAAATTATAAATTTGCTATAAATCCTGTAGCTGCTGTAGCTGAGCCTGTAGTATGGTAACCAGACTGCTGATAAACATACTTGTATTTTTCTAAAAACATACATACCTCCCAAATAAAAATTAATAATTCAAAATCAGTTCATAAATCATGGAGTTCTAAATTAACAAATACAAAAAAGAAAATGAACTCAAAATCAAATAATCACAAGTTCAGTGATTGGTAATTACTATTGAAATTGTTTTGTTTATTGATAAACAAGCAGCCCAAAGCTTCTCTCTCTTAAAAATGAAAAGTTTATTTTAAAACTAGTTTTAAAGTTACTGTTATTATTATTATATTATACTATTATTTTCTGCTAGGTCCACCTTGACATACAAGTGGGAGAGCATGCAGTGGACTATGCAAATGTGGCACACAAGGACAAGCTGACAGAGCTGCAACTGAGGATCAGGCAGCTTCTAGACCAAGTACACCAAATTACCAAGGAACAGAGTTATCAGAGGGTGGGTAATATGTTAATACTTCATCTTAGGTTTACTTAAGATTAACAGAAGGAACATATCAATACAATATTGTCTTTGCACCCATTATCATCATAATAGCCTCAAATAGTCCACTGCTGGACATAGGCCCTTCTTAGAAAGGAGGTTTTAGCCTACTATACCACATTGGCCAGATGGGTTGGTATAGGGTTTGTTTCAAGTTTTCCTTCTCTTTGCAGTGCATATAAGCATTATGAATGTCTTTATACATCTTCTACAAATATATCCATCAGTTTTTATCTGTATACAAATGAACTCATCTAAATGTTTGTTCACAGCACCGGGAAGAGCGCTTCAGACAAACATCGGAGAGCACAAACCAACGTGTACTGTGGTGGTCTCTCCTGCAAACTGGTGTACTCGTTGGTATCGGCTACTGGCAGATGAGGCATTTGAAGAGTTTCTTTGAAGCTAAAAAATTAGTTTAAACAAATATAAACACTATTAACTTTAGTTCCTCTAATTTTTTTCCAAAAACTTCACTTTTTTGACAATTGTGTGAATGATCTGTTTTTTTTTTCAATAAAAGTAACATTTACTGTGAAAATAGTTTATTTGTATTACATTGCTCATACCTATAAATTTTGGCTAGCATAATAAGTATTATAACATATGTAAACACATGTAAATAGTCCATTGGTTTTCAGAGATTTGTATAATTTAAAAATAAAAATTCTTTTTATACAACAAAACTAAATAGTACTTATTTAATAAACTCACTTAGCTTTAACTGTCACAGCCTAAAGAAGACACTGGAAATATTAATCATGTACGCCCAGTCTTGCATATTATTTATAACTTAGACCTGTATAACTGCTTATAATTAATCCAAGCTCATTATTAGAGGATTTACTTCTACTCTTGACGGGCTAAATAAACTTATGATTGGCTTAATTGACATTATTTGAATTTTAGATTGAGACAATATAAGGCACTAAAAGGCTTTATAATTGTGTTCTAAAATAAAAAAAAGTGAAACCTCCAATTATAAATGAGTCTATAAAACTCAAAGTGCAGTGTTTAATAGTTCATAACATATTAATTTACTGTTTCATTAAATCTATATTATAATATTCCTGTTAAAAAATAGCATGGAGGGATGCTACACTTGCAATTTATTTAGTTGTGCTGTGCAGTAAGCAAAATCGTATGAACAAAAAAAAAGCAATTTTATTTAATTTTAATACATTTAAAAACAATTTTCATCTCCACATAATTATATACTGACAATAAATTGTATAGAGTTATTTCTATATTTATATTTGCTTTTGCCGCTAAAAATAATCATGGGGAATTTCAATAAAATGTGATATTAGTGGCTCTAAATTCTAAATGCTGTAAAAGTGATTTTTTCATAAGATGTGAGGTGTTATTGACTTTTCACCATCCATATACTGTTTAGATGAATAGCCACGGATGACCAATATTTTCCGTGATACAGAGATAAACATATCATGTTCTAGTTTACTACTAAAGATTATCATTGACATCCTGATGTATCCTGGTTTAAATATGTACATACACATATAGTTTTCAAACTACACCAAATTCAAACCTCATATTATATACTTACAAGTCTGCCTTTCTTGTAAATATTTTAACTACAATGTTTTCAAACAATCAAGGCACATTTTTTAATAAACATCCTGGTTATAGTCTAATAACAAGTATTAAGGAATTTTATTCATAACAATATTATTATTTAAAGTTATCAGATCAGTCAATATTTTTAACCTTAAACACACTATCAAGATACTTAAGAAACATTGTCGGATCTGCTTTAGGGAATGGACTTAACAAACTAAAATCAACCATACTTAGTGTGCTTACTAATGTGTCACACGTGCAATAATACAAGTGAGAGTCGGTTTGAAGTTTCTCTGCCAACTCTAGTTGGTGGTTGTCCATTAAATCTTCGTTCACAACAACTAAAAGAGGTTTGTTTGCTTCCAAAGTCTCTAAGCAACTGCCTGCTCCAGCGTGACTTATAACCAAATCAGCGTTTCGTATATCTTCTTGAATACAGTCTTTAAACCTGTACATATTTATTTCAATATCGTTCTTTTCGTAAATACCAGGTTCTACATTGCTATTACCAATCTGGACAGTTATTTGTTTACAACCAATGTTCTTCATTGCAGTAAGAACTGGTCCGGTCATTATGTATTCGCAAAGTAAATCGAATTTTGTTGTGCCCACAGTTATGAAGCATTTTGGATATTCCTGAGGCATTTTTGATAATTCCTAACTTACACGGTAAATAGTTACTGTAGACCACGATCTGTCAAATTAAGACTGACATCACTGACATAACTAACACATCACACATCACTGACAGAACTCTTCACCTATCGCAACTATCGCACTAGACCCTCTGATAATTTTATACTGTATTCGGTAATACCAATTCCGATTAGTATAATAATATTTATATATTTCTTATAAGTTCACGTAACCTTTTGGTGCGATTCTACCATAATGGTTGGTTGGCTGCTTTGCCAACACAAGTAAAGACTTGCGTTTGTCATCGCGTATCAGAGATTCTAGATACTACGGCTGATAAAGTGTGCCGTTTCGTTCCATCACAGGAAAATCCGGCAGACCTCGCTTCGCGTGGACTTATCGCTGATAAGCTGTTGTTTGTTCTTTGTGGTGGTGTGTGGGACCAAAATTTCTGAGCTGAGGATAAATCGTCATGGCCTCTATTTCCTCAATCAAATCAACAAAATTTGTCAACCTTCAAATCATATTTGCAATCTTATTTATGAACAAAACATTCACAATTCTTGTTACAGCGCGCAGTAGCATATTTTACTCAATTTATTTATAAATGTGAGAGACAATCATATGAATCTGGTTCTCTCACATCACAAAACAACAATTCATTTAACTTTTAGTCAACAAAAATCATTTCCTGAAGAATATAATTTATTAAAAACAGGCAAACAATTACCGGCAAAAAACAAACTATTATCATTATGTCCTTTCTTTGATACAACTGTCAATTTAATTCGAGTTGGCGGTAGACTACATAATTCCTTTTACGATTACAACGTTAAACACCCAATTATACTATTAAGCAGATAAGAATTTCACATGTATCACCTTAGACTTATGCATCCTGGACCTCAGCTTTTATTAGCCACCGTACGTCATAACTATTATACAGTGGGAGGTAGAAACTTGGTAAAGAAAATCACTCATCAATGTGTGAAATGCTGCAGGATGAAGGCTAACACTATACAACCTGTTATGGGTAACCTACCAGAACAACGCCTTCATGTAGAGTTTCCATTCTTGTATACCGGCGTAGACTATGCAGGACCTATCGTGATAGCTGACCGAAAAGGTAGAGGATGTCGACTTATCAAATGTTTTATTTGTGTTTTTGTGTGTCTGGCTACCAGAGCTCTCCACCTCGAACTGGTGTCAGACCTCACTAAGAACGCTTTCTTAGCTGCCTTATCTCAGTTCATTGCTCGGAGGGGAAAACCACGTAAAATCTTTTCCGACAATGGCGCTACCTTTGTGCCTTTAACGAATAAGCCGATCTTTTATCGTAAGACTTATTGAGTAAGATTGATCCAGGTACTTGTATAAACTTTAGTTGGTTGGTGGTTAGTGGTTGTCCATTATATAATCGTATGTCATTTATGATTATCAATTTAACTAACTTATCACACATCATATGAAATTAAATATACCAGTTGCTGGTGCGACGTGATCCCTCACGAACATTGACTTGCCCCATATTCGTTACGTGCCCTTCTAACCGTCCCCGGTTAGAAGGGCAATAAGTACAAAATAGGTACGGTGGTGCATTCTACAGCTTCAAAGGCATCCCATATGCCAAACCACCTGTAGGGGAACTACGGTTCAAGGTAAGTAATAGGTCTTTACCTATGAAATTGCTGTTTTGTATACAATAAGTGAAAGTACTTATTTTTTCAAACTTTTTTTATTTCTGTTATTCGAAGTAATCACCCATGCAATCGACGCATCTTTGCCAACGCATTGGCAGCTTATTGATGCCCTTCTTGTAAAAATCAGCTGGACGGGAGGCAACAAACTCTTCAAAGGCATTTTGTACTGCCACTCGGGAATTGAATTTTTTACCCACTAATAAGTTGTCTAAATTTTTGAAAAAGTAATAGTCGGAGGGTGCAAGGTCAAAAAAATAAGTACTTTCACTTATTGCATACAAAACGGCAATTTCATAGGTAAAGACCTAATATAAACAGGTTAAATTTAACTTTTAAACTTTTTTGTGCCATGATATCCGTATTATTTAACCTTTATTGATTGAGGTTTATAACTCAATCGCGTCAGACTGGTTTAACGGATTTGGATGAATTTTAGCAGAGATAGATTACAGTCTGAAATAGCACTTAGCACAAAGCGAAAGAACAAATTGAAGCTAGTTTGAGTACGAGCTGTAGTAAGTAGGAGCACAATATCACGTTTTTACGTTATCAACATATACAATCTAGAGGATTGTGGTGACATAGTAACCAGTATGGATATTAATATTCTTTTACATACTTACTACATACTTACTACAATTATACAGTACATTACTAACTATTTTTAAACTATCGCGTTTCATAATACTTAATTATGTTTATGGGAAGGAACGTGCTCACGATAGGTCTTTGAATTGCCTGACATTTCAACCAGGTTACATAGGCCATAGCCAACCTGTGACCATATTATACAGTTCATTTTTCAATCCCAGGAAAAAGTTTAGTAGTATCTTATAGAACGCTATGAACTGTTACATACTCATACAGATTCAAGGTTCCGTAGGTACTAAAAGAGTTTGATTCAAAAGAGTTTGATTGAAAAGTACATCATCATCATCATTCAAGTTCATTCGTACATCGGGAGTTTCGATGTAGCTGTATGGTCTTAAAAATACTTTTTCACATGCACCTCACCCACCGACACCATGGGAAGGAGTTCGTTGTGCAAAGCAATTTGGTTCGAAATGTTTCCAGGATGATATAGAAACTTTTACTAGCCTACAAGGCAGCGAGGATTGCTTATATCTTAACGTTTACACGCCAAACATAACTCCTGAAAAGCTTCTTTCAGTCATGTTTTGGATACAAGGGGGAGGATAAGATTTCAGTATCGCTGAAGAGCAGAAATTCGGCGACACTGAAAGTTTTTTTGAAGGAGATTTCAATACGATATCTGAGAGAGTGGAAATAATGATAGGATATACAACAGATGCAGGTATTATTAATTTAATACCCGCAGACACTATAAGAATTAAGCTGGAAACAGTGAGAGACTTTACAGAAGTTCTTGTAAATAGGTCTATGAGGTATGATTTGACATTTAAACAGTAATCGGAAATTGGAAAGAAAACCAGAAATTTTTACTTCAACCGCAATAAGAAAATTGATATTTCTAAGAATTTGGAGGGCTTGAGTAACTTTTATTCGATGGATACGTTTGTTCATGACATAGATAGTTTATCCAAAAATTATGCAAAGAGGAACAAACTTCTATAAATTTTCTTATAAATCTGAGAGAAATGAGACAATCCACTTACTTACTTACTCACAGAAATAATTGAAAATAAACCAGTGACCAGTCACGGCGATGATTTGTTTTACCTTTTCGATGCTAAGATCATATCGTCTACAGTTGAGATCAACTCTTAATACGTATCAGCTTATAGAGCGAGTGGTCAAACTTTAGACTAAATTTGGTAAGTACGGGTATGTTTATCTTTTCTTCCTTACATTTTTTTGTTGAAGTGAATAAGATTAATAAAAAGTTTTATTCTTCGTATTGCTTCAGTTCAGGTAGCTGAGGTACTCTTGAAAAGGTTAAGGGGGTAGTTTTTAATATAATTTAATGTAACCCTTTGCTATTTAGAGCTGAGCTGAGCGTTGCTCGAAATGATATACGCTGTCTGCTGTCCCAGTAAAAGTAGTTATTTGAAAGGAACTTCTCTAAAGTTACATCAAAATTGTGCAATAACATCCTTGCCTTGGGTACTGTATTTGATGATGAGATATTACAAGGTTTCACAAGCCGGACTCTTGGTCGCGTGTCAACCATTGTGTTGTAAATGTAAATATATTAATAATAAAACAATATCTAAGTGCATGAAATTTACTTAAAATACGTTTCATAAATTATACATTACTGATGTGTTTTTTTCCTAATATTCAAACGTTCTCCTACAATATTTCAGAAATCCAACCGAAGACGTCTCTTTGGGTGTGAAATGGAAGGAATATAAAATTATTTGGATATCGGTAATGAGTTCATCACCGGCAAAGCACCTGATGACAAGGAGCTGAAATTCTGGAATCGTTTATTAGAAGAGTACGGAATAATATCATACTAATTGATCTTTTTGACTCTGCGTCAAATATAATATTGTTTAATTATAGTTTAGTCAAATTAAGGAACGCTCTTTGAGTGTGAACCGAATTAAAAAGTAATAAATGCACATGTACATGTACTAGATGAATTCTGAGGGGTACAGTTCACATTCATAATATGACATACCTTGGCTGATGTTTCGACCTGGTTGCACTAGTCGTGGTCACAGGCTGACTCGTTCAGTGGTGGTCGTGATTGCTGACGCCATGCATGGCAATACGGTTGAGGAGGCTTTTACCGGTAAGTATCAGACTTGCTGAGTGCAGATTGCTGCAATGCTGTAAATCTTCTCTGAAGTTATGATAAACTTTATAATTTTTTCATATTATTGTACCCGTGATATGTTATCATCAGCTAATTAATTCGTATTTGAAGTGAATATGGGCGAAACTATCCTGTAATGAGTTTTCACCATCCTATGCGTATGCTTACAATCCAGGCTGACTCTGCACTTTAGATAAATATCACATCGCATATACAAGTACATTGCAGCCTTAAATTGTTGGGCTGTTGGGCGTCGTACTTGTAGTCGAATGTTATTTCAATACTTAGGCGCCGCACGTGACGTTCTTTATTTGTTTACCGCTCAATATGTAGTGGAAAATATAGCAGAACTAAAATAAAAAAATAACATTATGTTATCCTTATTTGCGTTGTTAGATTATGAATTATTATTATTATCACATAGTTATTTAATGTATTGTTAGTTATTTTAAATATTGTTTATAGTACAAACAAATAAGTTTAGCTTTGATAAGTTGATTACTAGGATTTTATAACAAATATTACAAATTGCGCCTTTTACTTATTTTAATGGTAGCAACAAC